ACCTGGACGCGGTTTATGGTCTATTGAGTCTATTGATACCTTGTGGTTTATCATGGTTTACCTATATGTTTGCATAAATGTAAGTTAATATGTACAATGGCAATCCATTACATAATTGCTTGTTTTGTACATACATGTACATACTTATATAACCTGCACAAATTCGACCTATACCGAGAAGGCGTCAAGTTGCAAAAAAACGCAGCATGTGACAAGCGCATCAACCCGTCGAATCCCTGTGCCCTTGGCACGCTGCAAATGTCTCCAAATTTGCTGAGAAAATGATGGAACATGACGATTTAATATGCTGTTGTGGGTCTCAAAGATCTCCAAAGATCTCAAAGGTCCCATTTCTCTTGGCACGGCACGCTCATCACTGGATCATGCAGCAAGGTATGAATCTCCTCAGCGCTGATGGTGCCATCACCTGAGACAGGAGACTTACAACTTGATGCTGCAAGGTATCATGTACTCTCTGGTAATTTGTTACATAGCTATTGAAAATGACCATAGAAATAGTTGATTTACCCATTAAAAACATGTGATTGTCCATAGTTATGTTGGTTTACCAGAGGGTAGGGCCTGTAGAGTGAGCTGTGGTGACATAGGTCTTAATGATAATGCCACCTACTCGCGTTCTTCATCGTTCTTCCGAGCCGCCATTCACATCAGTTGCCACAAAGAACTCAACAATTTGGTCCTTTCCGGCTACGGCATCTTGAAAAGGCTTCATGGCACACAACGCTCCAAGATTCACTTGAAAACACGCTTTCATGAGACAATTCTGTGCATCATGTGGACCACAACCGTGCAACTTCTGATATAGTAAGGATAAGGAGACATCAATGATATCGATATCACTGGTGGTGCTTGGCTCCGACTGGGTTCTCACCATCGGCACCATGTGGCGTCTCACCCAACATCTGCCCGTCCAGAATGGTCCGCTTTTTGTCTATTGCTTCTTCCTGAGCAAGCAAGCCTCTAATCCGAATAGAATTTCGATTGGGGCTGCGTATGATTCTTGATAAGTTTGCTAATCAAATAGAAATTCAATCCCTGGCGGCTTGCATATCCTTTGCCGGGGCAACAGACAACACCCAAGAAGATGGGTAATTTATGGTATGGTACTGTTACAATCCCATTGGCCTTCATTATCTGGGGGCCGCGGTTCAAGTCATGGTGCTGCTGAATGGAGCAGTGCAAATAAAACCATACCAAACATCACCAAGTTCCAGAATCAACAAGTACATGTGAAAATGGGATGAACCCCCCACCCAAATATGATTCATCAACCGAAGGGACAATCGCATTGTGATACTATGACGTGATGGGTTTGTACATCTGGTTGAAGTACAACTAGTGGCATCTGGCCGGAAGCTACCCGTCCCGGTCTTCCAAGCTTCGATTTGGCTTTTGCGCTGTTTTTTACTGTTCTGAACTGCCTTGTCCACAAAGACTCCTGGCAAGAGCTGGTCAGAAAAGGTGAAAAGAATGGAAAAAGACAAGGACGATGCTTGTGGATGGATATTACATGATATTACTATCATAAAATCTCGGTGGTACAAAGCATGGTTCTCCGTACTTCTTCCCTATCCTTGATATGGCAACAGTCCCTGCCAGTGACAGCCACTGGACAATAACAATTTTGCGAGGCCACTACGATCCATCAGGGCTGTCCAAAAGGCGAGAAACTCGAAGGCAACATAAGGCAACAACAGAACAAACAAATCGTAAATCGACTTGGGATCACTTCATAAATTCTTCATATTTTTTTGCTATAGATCAGCTTCCAGAAATGGCCACTTTTCCGAGGCAATTCTCAATACTCCAACATGCGGGACGAATCGGCCGGCAGTTGTTTGACGCATTCCTGTGAACACATTCATCAGGGCCAGGATGGTAAAGATGACATATGCCTCAACCCCAAACCAACGCCTATCTCGATACACGGTAGAAACGTGGAAAACACCGCCCTAGCAAAAGTATGCAAACGTCATGTTTCCATCCAGCAATTAGCTGAAATTCATGATGAGTACCATGACCACAGCTGGAATTATCACAGTGAGAGGCAAACATGAAAAAGTCTGGTGAGAAGTGAGAAGTGAGACGGAATGAGCAACCAAACAGTCGGCCCAGCTCCTGTTCTGGACCCATATATGCTCGAATCATTCTACCGCTTCCAAATCAGTCGTGAGACGAAATGACACCTGGTTTCTTCAAATCTTAGTTAGCACACCGACCCCAATTTGACACTTTTCCCGAAAAATCATGGGTTAGAAGCTAGAACGGTAACAATGAAGAAAAAAACTAGAAGAAGCCACCAAAGGAATGACTAGTTGGAGGTGCCAAATGATGCCCCGTTTCTTGAAACTATGATTGAATGTTGCCGCCCCATCGGTAGGAAGTTCCCATCTACAGCACAGCAAAAGTCAACCACTACCCAAGGTTCAAATGCCCCCGGACACAGCCAGCTGCTGTCAGAGCGTTGCCGACGAGCAACAAAAAGGAGCATGAAATAAAACCAATCTACGTATCCAACCGCATCCGTCACCTGGTTGCCAGAAGGGCTAATCTAGAAAACCTTCCAACAGCATGACCACCAGCAAACATAAGCATATATAATAGATTATAATAGCATATGTAATCATGATCACCATGATCATCATCATGATCATCATGATCATCATCATGATCATGGTCATGATCATGATCATGATCATGATCATGATCATGATCATCATCATCATCATCATCATCCTCATCCTCATCATCATCATAATCAATCATCACCATCATCACCACCATCATCATCATCGTCGTCGTCGTCATCATCATCATCACCACCATCACCTTCACCACAAACATCATCGTCAGGTATGTAAGATAAAAACATGTCATGCGTATAACTGTGTTGATATGATCGTGCACGTGGCCAGTGCACATAGATACACCAAATCATTATTCCCATGATCAATCATTATTTTTCTATTGTTATTGTACTACTACAATGTGTACTCTGGTGAATCATGGGAAATAATGATCATCTGGATAATAATCACATGATTCTTCATATTTGTCATTGATCATCTGTGTACTCTGGTTGCAATGTGATATTCATGCCTCGGATGTTTTGGAAACACCTGGGCACCTGGTGCCAGCTTACACCACCCAGGCTGACTTGGAAAAGGGTGTAGATGCCTTAGCAAAGGAACGGAGACACCAACAAGTGCGTCTCAAGAAGTATGGAAAACCCGAGGAAACCCATCTGACATGATCTGATTACCAACAGCTCTGGGGAAATTTCAACTAGCCTCCGCGCAACAAAGAACACCTATCCGCCAGTTCCAGGTTAAGCATTCCGAAGCGTTCCACGCATTGATACGCATTGGATGCTGGCAAGCTGCTGCGATCAAGGCTTCCAAAGAAGCGATGTACCTGGTGTAGCCATCCTATACTGATCATTTCTATATGATTCTTAGCTATCCATCATAGAATGTGTTTCAAGGTTTTCGGTATGTTCAATTGTTCCCTTACATAATTCCACTGAATCCATTATTGTGTATCAAACGTTTTCGCTGTGGCAACTGAGCCTGCTGGTAAGCTGCCAGTCATTCACCTTATACCGAAAAATATCTGTCGAAATCACAACATGATGTTTCTGCCTGCCCCGAACATGTACTGGGAGAATACCGGATTAGAGGATGCATTCTTCGCAGGAACAGAAGTTGAAAACGGAAACTGGATTAGCAATGTTTTGTCAAAGTTGTTTTGATACCAAGTGGGTTATCATATGTTTTCTTTCAATGAAAATCGAGCATCAAATGTCCCAGCCCCTTGATCATTGCAAAATAGTGCAATTATGTTCACCTCTGGGTTCATAAAACCTACAGGTCGTTTCACACCGGGGTTAGCTTTAGAAAGCTCCCAGCATTCGCGCCTCTTTCAAGCCATCTACTTGGCTGTCCCTGAGCTAAGGAACAGCCGTGCAGATCACGAGTGTTGGTCAATGAATAAGGCCAACATTTCAAAATACAAACCGCTGCAAACTCCATGATATATTACATGTTGTATGAATTTCTGTCATTAACTTGTTGATGTTCAAGCTATTTCTGCTTGCTCCTGCCCAATTCCTGGTTTGTTTCGGGGCTGAAATCCATTTTGCAGCTATTTCTGCCTTTTTCAATCTTTCCTGCTAATTTAGCCGAACTCTTTGATGTAATGCAGCTATATTCCTGTTTGCTCCATCTGTTTCGACCAGAATGATGTCCTGCAATGAGATCGTCGAAAAAAAAAACAGCAATACGATTTTCGTTGGGCACAGATTTTACGGAATGTACCTCTATATATATAATATATATATATACCTAGTACCTAGATGTGCTGCGTTTTAAGATACCCTTTTCAGAAATCATACTTTCATTAAAAATCCTGGATATTTAACATAAGTAGCGTAATTTGCAAAAGTCATGCGTTTTGGATATTAACACTTTCATCTGATCTTATGATATCGGTATGCTCCAATAAATGATGGGTTTAGCTTCCAACAATATGGACTGTTGATATATTCAGGGTGAATAACAATGGGTTTGTTGTTCAATGCCATCCAAACAATCTTATATCCATTTGGGTCAATACCATCCGACCAATCTTAGACCCACCCTCGCAGCTCAGCAAAGATTTTCTAGCACCATGCGCGGGTCAAGCCCACTGCCATTTGGAGCAGATAGAGGTGCCAACCTCAGCCATTTGGGGTTGCCAATGGAAACAATGGTGGTCTGACTTGGGCAGGGTTCCCACTTGTTACCAACTTTCAATCAAATGGGGGAAATCCATGATCCATGTTTGAAAATCCATGATGGCATAGAATAGTCACCCATGATGGAAAAGATCATGGGCTATAAATCACCATGAAGGGGTCATGAACTTGTTCCATCTTCCGGTGTATACATTGCATTAAACTTCATAGCATTTTGGATCTTCAGCTGGTAATCCTCTGAACCATGGCTCAGATGCCATCCTTACATGGTGTTTCCCGTGAATGGGAGCAAGAAGGTGATCTGAGAGAGCACCTCCGTCGTTCCAAAGAACTACTTCAATGGGAGGATGATGGGGACCAACGGGTCAACATCAGGAATGCCGATTTGAATTTCTTGGTCTTGAAGCCCCTTGCAAAGCGTCTTAGGGATGATTCTGGTGAAGTGGGCATGCATTGTTTGCCTGAAATTCAAACCCAGTAACTTGGTTCAAAGGTATTTCCCAATATTTCCCAATGCTATTTGTTACCCTGAACAAGTAGTACTAGTAAAGGTCTGTGACGATGACTTTACATAAGATTACATAAAGTGTTTTTCCCATGGGTATTTTCTTTATTGGGAATGTCATTCATTCTGAGGATAAAGCTTTTGTACGCCGTCATGGGCAAACCGGTCCCTACCAAAAGCATTCTCAAGAACACCGCGAAAAAGGTCAAGGCTTTCATGGTTCTCATCAAGCAGAAACTTTCCCGCCAGCAGGTTTGCCGGTCAGCTAATTTTAGAAGGCTGATGGCCATGGTGTTTGACCCTGATGAAACCCAGGAACTGGGCAACAAATGTTTTTGATCTTTGTTATTGAATCATTTAGAGTACAGTTGGTTTTTGGTCATATAAAAAACTCCTAAAAAGGAATTGCCATTGGTTAGATGTTTTTTAAGGCACCTTCACCTGATAACCTTCCTTTAATGGTTTCATTATAATCCAATCCATTTTCCCTCCCATTACAGCACCCTGCGAAGGAAGTCGAAGTGGACACCCTAGAATACTTGCCAAACGGGGAGACAAGTGAATCCGAAGGTGAACTTCAAGAGATTGAAATTGGAGACAGTGATGATGATAATGAGGAGGATGATGACACCTTAGAAGATGAAGCTGAGAAGAGTCCCTCTTCTGATGGGAAAGGAGTTGAACCAGGCTCCGCATCAGATGGAGTCGGGATTCAGGCTGGGCAGAAGGCTGAGAAAGCTGAGGTTGGGGAGAGTGTGGAGCATCAAGTGATGCCCAAAGATGAGGTTCGAGGGGGCTTGTGGAGTGATGTTTCTGATGATTTGGCTTCTTCGTCGAGTTCTGACCCCAAGCATGATAGGATTCAGCAACTGGAACGGATGTTGAATCTAGCGAGGAAAGAGCAAACAGCAAAGACTCTTGGGTACATATCTCCTTGATTGGTTTTTGTTTTGTCAGAAACATGCCAAAACCCTTCAACACTTTGAACTACAAAGGGGTGTTGAAAGTTTGTGGATACTTTTTTTACTTTCTATTGGTTCCATTTTTTGTGGTTGAGCAAAACTTCCACGCTCCCAGAAAAGGAAAGCCCGAGTACTTGTCCAAAAGCCAGTTGACAAGACCATCATCATTGACGATACTATGCCCTACGGTGAAGATCAGTCTGACACCCTAGCGCACCCCTTCATGGATGACTTGGCAGAACAGTTCAATGACCCAGAACCCATCTTTGATGAAGAAATTCCTGCAGCCCCCGTTGTGACTGGACTAGACCTTTTTTGTAATGAATATAGATGATGTATTCGAATTTCAAACCTCTTGGAATCTTTTTGGAATTACCCCTTAGGCCTTTACAGCTCAAACACTTTTTACATACAATATGTACTGGTAGACTTTGAAACATCCTCTCCTAACCTTACAGCTATTTCACAGCCCTACACACCAGCTTCCCAGGTGACCCGTCGACAGCAACTAGCTCTGAAGCGTGAAAGTCAGGAAAAGCAGGAGGATGATGGGAAGGACAAGCCGGCGAGAGGTCGAGGCAGAGGCAAAGGGAAAGGAAGAGGGAGGGGGAAGCAACCAAAGCAACCCAAGGTGAGAGCATCAGGTCACAAGAACAGGGAGGAGGATCAGGATGAGATGGATGACAAAGAGGACAAAGAGGCGGAGGAGGAGGAGGCACCAGCGCCACCTGCAGCTGCAAAGGAGAAGACGAAGGAGGCAGGAAAAAAGAAGAAATCGGTCAAGCCCAAAAAGGAAACTTTGGCCACTGATGACGGAAAAGTGAAGAAGCCACGTGGAGAGAAGAAGGCTGGGGAGGTGAAGACGCAGGCCAATAGGAGGGGTGAGGAGGATGTGGAGGATGCAATGATGGAAGACATGCAAGATGGGGATGAAGTGCCAAAGTCAACCTCTGAAAGTGATGCTATGTTGTCCAGGGAGGAGGAAGAAAAGCATGAGGGAATCGGTGTCCCAAATGGGAAGGAGGATTGTGATGAAGAGGAGGTGGTGGATGAAAAGGATTCCAGGAATGCAGTGAAGGTTGATGTGGAGAAGGGGACACCGGACGAGAAGCAGGATGAGACCCCCAGAGAGGAAAAACCCAAGCGACGTAGACTCAGGAAGATTTCCGACAATGAGCCACCAGAAGACAAGAAGAGCAATGAGAAGACAGAAGACAAGTGGAAGAAGACAGATGCCCCTGCAGAAGAACATGTGATGCCAGAGAAAGAAAAAGAGAAGGCTCAGGATTTGCAGCCCGAAGGACGAAAGAATTCGAGGACTCGAGGCCCGATGGTAAAGGGCAAGGGTGGGAACAAGCGGGTTCTTGAATCAGAGACAGGTGCAAGCAAGGCGGACAAGGCTGCAGCCAAGAAAACCAAGGAAGAAAAGAAAGACCCCAAGCCGGAAGCAGCAGTCAGGAAAAGACGCACAGGATCAGTCGATGCCAAGAAAGCAGGAGGTCACGAAGTTGATCATGGTGCTGAACCCAAGGAAGAGGAGGATCTCAGCAAAGCAAAGTGTTTTGCAAAGAGGAGGTGCCCAAAGACTGGGTTCAATCGCGCCAAGTGGGTAAGTTTGAGAAAGGTTTTTGAAGAGAAGCTGAAGCCATACATGACAACCTACTCCAAAGCTGAGGACAGGATGGGTTACAAGTTTGGGCGGGCAGGTGGGTTAGAGGACCATTTCCCAATCAGACCCCACAGGAGCAAAAAATTATTTCCCAAAGATCCTGCACAATAAATCCTCCAGATTTTTTGAGCATTTTTCTTCAATGTCAAATATCGTTTCCTGTTTCGTCCAAGCTGTACTTTACCCAAACCAAAACGTATGTCATCATCACAGTTATAGGTCAGCCTCCCAAAACTAGCACCCTCTTACATGAATTGATTATAATATTATATCAATGGTTGAACCCTTCGATGTCCTTTTGTCGATATCCGATATCCCCTGCCAGAGCGACTTCTGGGACTTTGCTTCTGAGCGATGGGCCACTCTGGACTTCCCCATTGAACAGCTCGACGCAGAGGCCTCTGAAGCAGCTGATGCTTTCATAGCCCAGTGTGAGTGTGATCCCGATGAATGATCGCCCATCCCAAGCGGGCATGCCGCAGCTTGCCAGTTTCTGATTTGTTGGCTGACTTGCCATGAAACAAGCTAGTCAATCTATGTAACAATCAGTTACATGTATGCAAAAATTATACAAAGATGTTTCAAGATGTTTCAAGTATAAACCTCAATATCTCATAGAAATCTTTCTACCAGGAAATTCTGTGAATGCGAAGATCGGCAGAACTGGCAATTGCAATATGCCAGTGAGGCTGTGGGCTTCTTTGCAAATATGAGCGTATGCCGTATGCCATGTAATCTGATGGCTGTCCAAATCATGGCTTAAGAACGGTACGGTTAAGTTTAGTTAGCATTCAGGAACCAGTCTTTGAAGCACCTTCAACACGAGGTGTGCCGGCTCATGTCACATGTGTGTGCACTTTAGCCTGTAGTTGTGGCTAGGGGATTTGAAGCCTCATGGTTGAGTGGCCAAATTTATTTAAATTAATCTATAGATATACACCAACAAAGGGGTCCCTATAACTAAAGTAACACAACTAATCCCAAGAAATGTGTTGGTTCTCTGGTAATACTCAAATCATCAGGCTTCACTGGGGAATTGCCGCAGTGGGCATAGAGACCACGCACTTGAACACCAGAGCTCCAATCCAGCTTGGACATGTGAAGGAAAACAGGTGAAAATTACACACTCTTGCAATTGGGTAAAAAAAATTGGATGATCAGCCCACACAACTTCGTTGGAATTGGCATCTATATTTTTTCAAAACACACCTAAACCCTGATGCAATCCTGAGACACCCTGCGAACTCACAATTCCAGTCACATCACACTGCGCCTGAGGTGCTGCATGGGAGATGGCGAGGAGCGGCCCAGGTTGCGGCTTCCCAATGATCGGGGTAGTCCGGGCATGTTTACATTTGGATGGCACCTTTTTAGACTCGAGAATCATGAAGCGATTTGATTTCAATATTGTATACCATGTTTATCAATTTCAAGTTTCAAGTGATCAAAGTTAAGTTGCTTTCTTGAGATCGGGGATATGGTCACATGACATATGGTCCATGATTTGCACATTACAGCCGGAGCATATGGTGGCTTCAGGGTAACCCAGCAAGAGCCAAAGCCTACAGGCATCCTAGCCGGTAAACCTAGTGCTTTAGTCATGGCAACAAATGCCAACCAGTCCCAAAAGTTGGACATGCTGATGCGACGCCTCTACGCCATTGGGGCACCCAAGGCAGGGATGAAGTGCTTTAACTACAGCAAAGGTACCAAAGTTACAACGTTGACACATGTTGACACATATCTTTCATATGGTTGGGACACGGCAAATATAGCAATTTGAATGAATTCCAAACTCCATATCATTCCTGGCCCGCAGTTTCTGCTGTACTCCATCGTTCTGCTGTCCGTCAACAAGGATGTTCAGCTGTTCACTGAGGCTGGAACAGGATGGTCAAAAAGAAAGCCATAATAGACCATGCCAATAGCAAACGGCCTGGTGCAAAGGGCATGACGAAAACAAAACATTTTAGGTCGTTGATTCAAGATAATTAGTCAGAAAACACCCCAAACCCACCAGACATGACTCGTATTTGTGGCTTGCTTGAATATGAAACTATTCGATGGGACATGATGAGACTGCAGCCCTCAAAGTATAAGTACATCAAGGTAATAGCCATCACTGGGGCCACAATTACTGTGGAAGTGTGGGTCCTAAACTTATCGAGCTATCAATTATTAAATACAACTTTTGGTACTGGAACCGGGTGGTTGCCTGGCCAGCGGCTGAAGGCCTATGGTTTTGTCGAGCTCTTTAGCGGTGAAGCTTGGACGTCCAGGTGCATGAGAAACGCAGGTATTAAAACCGCTTCGTTCGATATCAAGTATGGCCAGTGTGACAGGAATCCCCTCAAGCAGGACTGTATGGACCTATGCACAGATGCAGGATTTGCGTTTCTCTGGCTAATGACTTTAGATGTTTCAGCACATTGGTTATGTATAGCCCACACCATGGACAATGGGAGCATTGGGCCATTTGCTCTAAATCCATGTTGATTTCCTACCCCTTTCAAACCCTGAAGTAATTTTGGGTTATCATCGTTGAAATCTTGGGAATCAATTCTTTTAAACTGGGCCCTCTCTCTCTCCCTCTTCTTCGAGGCTTGCCCTTCTTACAATTCTGAATTGTAAGTGGGAAAACTTCCTCGTGGTCATCGGACTGGTTTGCTCCTCCTTTGTCACAGTATCAGCTGGTACTCATCGAAGAGCCCCATGGAGCCCTTTTGGAAACCCAGCTGCCCAATTTGTGGAAATTGGAAATTTACTTGCCAGCCGGCCTCTTGGCTAACTGGCACTTACAGGGGGGAAACATTGAGGGATATATCGGATATATCAGATATTATGAAATTTGGGGCTTTAAACTTCATTTTAAACATTTGAGGTCAATACCATCATGAAACCGCCCATATGACTTTGCCTCCCACTGCTGCTCTCAGGGTATGCGCGCTGCTACTGGTCATAACCTGCATGGGCGGAGGCTGGATCTTGGAGCAGCCAAGATCCAGTCAACTCATTTGGTTGCCGCGGGTACGGGCCACATTCAGGATGCTTCCCAAGGTGTGGGGGCATGCATAGGAAGAACCATTACAGAATAGAACAAATTGGTAGATTGTGGGGTTCCTCTTGAAGTTTATGTAATCATTTAATGTAGCAAGTCCCAGATGATCCCTTAACAAGATTGATGGCTATAAACCCTTGGTTTTGAATTACCCTGAAAGGTGTTCCAGGCTTCATGGTGGATGGCATTGTATGGTGGTTTGACGCCAAAAAGGCACATTGCCTACTCGAATACAAAAACAATTCAGTTGTTGGACCTAGGAGTCCTCCTGAAAGAGGTCAGGGAAAAACTATCCAAACATGGATGTCAGAGCACTCGATCCTACCAGAACAAGGGAAAGAAGGTCTTTGCTGGGACCCAATTTCTGAAACAGACGCAGATTCTTGGTATTGTTTTGATTGTTGGGTGTTGTCCCAATGTTCAACCAAATTTTGTTTCACAATATATATGCACCATACTATACCACCCAAAAGCTTCCAAAAGGGAATTCCAGTGGTTTGGGCTATATAATATATTTGAAATACTTTGAATTATGTGTCTTTTCCCTGTTAGATGATATTGGGGACCTTACGTTCCATAGGTTTGATTCCAATCCTTGGACACCAACCAGCAAACCCCGTACTGAGGACATACCCACCGAGATTTGCCAAACGAGTCACCAAGTACTACAAACGCTTCTGCACCCAGGGGAATGGACACTTCCCGCCAGAGGCTGATGATGGGGTTCTGACATCGTTTCAAATCTTAGCTTTACTTCAAGAACAAACAGAGAATGACCTATGGTTAGATGCTCAGCTTATGGAATCATTTATGTATTTGAGAGGCTCAAAGAGCCTGGAGCTTGGCGAATTGCGCCAGGTCTTGCCAAGTTCCATTCCTCTCCCATGATGAAAGTAGCGAAGACATTACAAACACAAATTGTGTGGCTACACGGTTTGAATATGTTTGAATATTTTGTGTAGTTATTTTGAAACACCCCATTCCATAGGAAGCTGTTCCCATTCAAACGTTAGTGCTTCTGAAGTGGAGCTGACTGGAACTGGCCACAATCAAATTCAGTTCAATTTAATTCAATAGGATTGGAGCTGCCTTCACATGTCAAACGTGTGGTTTGCTTCCCACATGAACACTCCATTGCATTCCACAAAGAAAAAACACTACTGGGGATTGCCGATGTTTCAGGGTTGGTGGGATGGAGTTGTCAAATCCTTCAAAGCTAAAGATAATCTTGGGGCCTGGGTATGGTGGCAAATGCCTGCATGTATTTCATGGTAATCCTACAGCTGTCTAGCAAATATGATTTATACAAATCATAGCTGATTTATGATGATTCTGGGATGATGTCAGTTTACGTATTTTCTACGTAGAAAATACGTATTTTACCCGTAATTTTTCCCAACCCGTAAAAACCACGTATTTTTGCGTAAAAGTAGCGTATATTTGCGTAATTTTTTACGTAATTTACCCGTAATTTAACCATTTTTCAACATATCCTCAAATGAGGGATTTTGCTCCAATTTTGAACATTCTGATACCTGATTTGAAGGGTTCTTGACTTAGGGGGTGGCCCATGCCCGATTAGTGGGATGTGGAAAGCAACAAAGAATATGGTTTTGGTATGATTTGGGATCCCTTAAACCAATGCCCTTTAAATTCACATGATGTTGAGTTTCACATAGATTTGTTCAATCATTTCAACATGAAATAACAACAAATTGATTGCTGGTGTTGGTTCTTATTGGTTCCCTACCGGAACTTATTAGGCCACTTCTATCCATTAACTTCCCAGCCCAACCATGCAGCCTTTGCAGCTGGCTCTTTTCGCAACTCTTCCTGGCCAAGGGTTCAGATTCAGTGATGCCCAAAGAACGAAAAGGTGTTACTGCAGTGCCATCCAGGCAATGGAGCTGCAGTGAAATGGTTGATGGTCATAAGGCCCTTATGAAAGCCAAAGAAGAACGAGAAAGCGATGATGAAATTCAGAACAGGATCCAGGACAGTCTTTCTATTAAATAAACTTCTATATGTTTCTATGCACTGTGTCTTTGTGAAGGAGTATCCATGCCCATGATGGCCCCAAAAGAAGAATTGATCTTTCATGGTAGGAATATGAAGCTGAGCTAGCAAAGCTGAAAGCAGAGGCGGTTTCTTAGCTCAAACCATATCCACCCTTGTCTCCATACCAGTTGACAAACATATCGTTTCACTATTTGTCCAATTCTGACTTATATACATATAGATTATACATCGATTGAGCTGGCTAAGGCTGCTGCTGAGACGCAACCAGAAACTTGGAAGCACCCCTGTGTTGTTTCCATCTTCGTGGACATACTGATTTAGGTGACATGATATTTGTTAGGAACTATCACTCATGACTTTGTTGAGGCACCAGAAGAAGAGGTGAAAAAGGCGAAGAGTGCAGCCAAGTCAAAGCCCAAGGTTTCAAAGGAGGTTTCAAAGGGGTCAGTAACTCCACCACCGTCCCAGCGACCAGTTGCCACGCCCGTTCGCAAGGGTGCTGCCCCAACTTTAGAGGCTCCGGAAGCCACACCAACCCTGGGTGCCTCTGGAAATCCTGCTGAGAAGAAGCGCCACCGAGTGAAACAACCTGACGAGGATAAGGATCGTCAAATTGATGAGCTTAAGAAGGCTAGATTGGGTGTAGAGATATCACAAGATTGGGTCACACAATATCAAGGAATCACATTTGGTTGTCGATTTTTTGGAACAATCATGTGGTGGCCCCTGAAGTGCTATCAAAATCCATCTATGGGGTATATAATGGTATCTGATGTTTGGGAAGCATATCAATGGAATCCTGTTTTAAATTGCTGGGTGTCTTGTGAGGCTGCTGCAAAGATGCAGCAACAGCTCGAAGCGATGGCCAAGCAGCCAGCTAGCAGCCATGAGAAGTACGAGGGTGATGGGCAGCAGGGTCAGGTGGACAAGGGTCAGAAGAAGGAGACTACCCTTTCCCTAGAAGCTAAGATGGCCAAACTTAGACGAGTTTGTGAGAAGAAACCTAGTGGGAAAGTAAAAGTTCCAGAGGAGGTCCACCTCAAATGGAAACAGAACAATGGAGATGACAGAGCCGAGCTCCTGAAAGCCCTTGAAGATTCCAACTGGGATAAGGAGCATGTCAGGGTCCAATTTTGCAGAATTGATGTCTCATATGAATGCTGCAATAGGATACAAAAGGTTCTAACGGTATATATGTCAATATGGTTTTATTGGTTGGCTTCATTCATATAGGTCTGTTGACTTTGTGGGCCCCTTTACAGGATACCTTTGTGGCAAAAGTCACACGAACAGTGGCCAAGACGAACAAGCTCACGAAGAATAAGCGTCGCCAATGGCACTCCGAGGAGAGCATGTTCCGTGTGCTCAATTGGTCAAAGTCACTTTGGTTGCGAAGACACATGCAGTGGTGCTCCCATTTCAATATTGGCTAGTAGTATATATAGATCCAATTATCTTTTGGGATGCTGGGTTTTACAAGGCAATACCCCAATTTGTGGATGAATCATCTCTGGGTAAAGGTCAAATGTGACAACTTTCTCATTGAGGCCCTACATCAAGTCCGTTGTGGCATATTGTCGCAAGGCTGGAAATGAGAAGCTGATCAAGCACCCAAATTGCATTTATCAAAATTCAATTATCAGCTGTTGTTCCAATATCAAGCCCTTGTTGGTATAGTCAGATCCCCTTTCCATGATATGCCCAGGAAGGACCGGTACAACAAGAAAATTGACAAATTCCACGTAGTGGTTGAAGAGCAAGATGATGAGGTTTCAGATCTCGAAGAGACGGAGAAACATGAGGCTACCAAGGACAACCCTCTGTCCCAACCATGTTGCAAGCACTTCAGGTAGATCGATCGGTGTAATTGGATGTTAACACACAATTTATCCAGGCGTTTTGCCCCAACTTTATATTTCCAACAGTCCCCATTCTGTTGGTCACGCTCTTGCCCAGCCTCAGGATTCCAATGCGCAGGTCGCATTCAAGCTCAAAGCCAGCGGCAGCATGGAACCTCCACAGCCCGGGGATAGCTCGGGAACTGACGCTTCGGATGATGAGGAGGAGGCAAAGCAAACCAATGGCCCAAAACAGGAGATTCGGTATATTTGGGGTTGTTTGGGAATAATTTTGATATATTGAAATATAGTGAAATATGTTGAGATTGTACTGGGACCCACTAGGTTGTTAGAGAATATAAACTCCTTCATTTTGAATGGGTTGTGGATCATCAGTAATGAGAACTTGACCCCTCTACTATCTTACACATGTGTTCAACAGCTTTCAAAGATCCAGGAGTTTGATCGTTTCAAGACCTTTGCCAATTCGCTGTTGGGAAGATCCTCAAAGATTTCGGATTTGATCTCAGAACTTGAAGGGGCAGCCGAAATTGCCAAGAAGGGGTCAGAGACTTCTGATGGACAAAGGGTCGCCAAGTCCATTCCCCAGTCACCTCAATCCATCGTTCTATTTTATTTCACAGTGTGAAAGTTATAAATTAAAAACTCTGGTCTGGAAACAGTTTCCCCAGTCTTAAGGCTGGTTACGAAGTTGGAAGAAGCAGCTCAGACTCTGGATGCAGAGCATGTCAAATGCGAATGCGTGAAGGCGGCGGTAAGTAAGTTGGGAAAAATGGATGACTCAAATCTTTCCAGTGCCAAGGCCATGGAGTTCCTTGGTACTATAATGTTTCCACAAAATCCCCAAAAGCATTTATCGATGAACATACCAACTGTTGAATATGGTCTCCAATCCCAGGTTAATTGCCAAGATTGATGAGCAGGTTTCGGCAACGACCATTGCGCGCCTGGGCAATCCAGTCTCAGCCAGTCCTGGGAGCGGCAGGGGTTCAAAGAATAGACATTCATTGCCAAGTAGTAGATCGATCTATAATACTATATTGTTGTATTTGTTTTGATATGTTTTATTTTGTGGTCACCCCTTGGCTGTTTAACTGTTAGCACTATGCAATCTACCCCAGTCAGGTGCAGCAAGATTACAGCGACGGAATCAGCTGCAAAGAAACTCGAATGCAATTCCAGTTTTTCCAATTTCCCAGTCCACCTGCACGAAACATATAAAACATATATGATCATATCTCAATCAGGAACATGGGGTGTATTTGTATTTGGGAGTTGGCCTTCATTGGCTATCTTCATGCAAACTAGTAAGGACCATGGTTCGCAACCTGAAGAAGGTTAAGGAGGAAAAGTGATCCTAGAGACTTTGGACGTTTGTTGAAAAGGGGGCCCAAGGCACAAACCTCTTGTGCCTTCTTGTGGCATTTTGAAATGAAGCTGGAAGCATCATGATGTCAATACATGTGGTCTGTACACCACAGCTTTAGAACATGCGTGTGACGCGTGAAGGGCTGTGATTTGGGTGATACCTTGGGAAAAAAACGTTTGCTGCAATGTGCATTGACCTTGTTGGATACGGCCACATGTTTGAAATAGATGTTAAAGTTGACATGAAAATTGCCCCAATCTCTCTGTACTCAGCGCCCTTTCCAGGGGCGTGTTGTGAATTGACCCATCCCTCCTTTTGCCAGGTGGCCCTGACACTGTCCTTGAGCACATGGCTCGCTTGATTGGCTATGGCGCCAGCTCCTCATTTGTGGTGGGGGTTGGGCATGGCATCCATCTTGTGAATTGCACTGGTCAGCTTTCTGAAGTAGCATTGGCTTAACAGGAGTTGTTTGGCTTAACAGGTCATATATGATTCAACCCTGAACCAGCCTTCAAAGAGCTAAACAAGATATCGACCATTTCATTCCCCCTATTCCGCACAGCTTCTAAAACCCATGATAACTTTTTCAATGGACACAAATTCCAAAGAAGTACCTGGACATTGAAAATACCTAATCCCTCATGTCGGAGTTGCCGCCATGGACTTCTTGGAGGAACTCCTCACCTATGATTGCCCCATTTCTGGAAAGAAGCGTGTTGCCGGAAAATACGATGAAGAGATAGACATGGGTCCGAACAAGTTTCATGGTTGCATCTTGAAAGTGTCACTTGAATTCTGCACATTATCCATTTCTTTCACTTTGGTTGATTCAAACCTTAAGGAAAGGAAAGTCACCACCGATTTCAGAAGAACCTGAACAGACTTGCATGGGGGACCAAGAGCATATGGACGATCTCTATGGTGACTACTTTCACCGTCAAAATGTTCAGGCCACACCCCAATCTCAGCACTCCAGTCCTCCAGGGTTGTCTCCAGGAGATGCTTGTCATGGCATACATCGAATCGCTCAAGAGTTGATGTTGGTGTTAAAATGACTTATAATTATAGGTGATACTGTTTAATTTAATGTTAATTTCTGGTGGTACAATCATCCCTTTTTATCTCCAAGTCAGTTCAATGAAACAATCTAAGGACATACGGGACTTGGTGGAAAAGCTGAAAAAGTTGGGGGCCAACTTTGATGCCACTTTTGATTGGAATACTTCCAAACCTTTAGGGATTCACAACCGCTGTCTCAAATTGGACCAAAAGCGGGTTTCATGTGGAACAATTTTGGCACATGCCAAAGAGCAAGTCAGTGCCCTGCGAGAGAAAGTTGGTATTAGATTATGTTGTTTCAAAATCGGAGTGACAACAAACCCGCTGATTCGTTTTCGACTTTATCTCGAAAAGGGTTACAATCAAATGTGGGTCATTTGGACCTCATCTAGCATCGACATCGTTCACATGCTCGAGGCAGCATTGATCAGTGAATTTGGTCGGCATGTTGGATGCCAAAACAAATATGGTTCTGGGGGGGATGGTGCATTAAATCAAGAACACCCACAACCACCCCCTTATTTTGTCTATGTTGTGGCTGGCCGTGCTGATCAGCCGCGTAGGGTAGGGTAGGATGTTTGTGTGTGTGTGCGACCGCGCCTGGGGAAACGGGAAAAGCATGCAGCATGTTGGTGCACGAGTGCTTTGCAAGGGTCAGGGTTCAAACATGCAATCACTTTTCACTTTTCATAGTTTCCAAATTCCAAATATTTGTGATTGGTTTACTTTGGGTTCCTCCAAGTTGCTTTGTCATCTCTCACACCTATCCTGTTTACATAATATTCCCCTTTCTCCCTTTGTTTTTTTTCCCACCTGTTGAGTTGACCGGCTTTGCCAAGGCCCCTGCGAAACACGTTGTGGAGCTTGCACAAGCTGAAGTCAGGCAAAACCCGGCTGCGCCAAATGATCTTAAAGAATTCTCTCGGGTCAGGCTAGAAGATGCTGAAACTGGTGCACATGATGTTTTTCAGAAGTACAACCTAGTTTGCAAAGTTCAAGTCGACCAAGCGAACCTGGGGGACAATGAGCTGAAAGAGTTTCCCTACATCAAATTGAGCAGTTGGCTTCAATATTTGAGTACATCCCGGATTTTCAGGCAATTTTGTGGTGTTGCTACATTTTCAAAGATGAAACTGGTACTACGCGAGTTTTGGCAGCGTTACCATGCCATCAACCCCTCCCATGAGATTTTTGAAAGGGCTCGACAGGGTGGGCTGGATTTGGAAAGCACAATTCCATATTATTCACACAGTGATGAAGGAAGATCATACAAGAAAGAGGCACTTTGGATATTTTCGGTGCACGGGTGCTTGGGTAGAGGTACAAATGGTTTTTTGAAGCGCAGAAAGCACCTTCCCCGAGTAGAGCGGAACCAAATGGGAATGAATTTTGTTGGACCAACTTTATCGACTCAATTTCTCTTCGCTACAATGTTGCGAGAAAAATCCAAGCAAAACCCTGGTTCTATGGAGAAACTCCTGGAGATTTTTGCACTGGATGCAAAGGATCTTTACACACAAGGTTTTCGAACGCAAGAGGGCTACCATTTGTGGTGTGTGCACCTTGGAACGAAAGGAGACTTACCAGCTTTGGCAAAAATTTGTAATTTTGTGAGGACATGGTTGCATGTGCCTAGAGCACCACGATCTCGCAAAGCATGTGAGGGCATTTGCCCACGCTGTTTGGCTGGCCAAGAAAGGGATGACACAAGGGGCATGCAAGCTTTTCCATTCGAGGATCTTTCAAGATCACCAGGGTGGGTCTCGACAATTGACCGGGTTGACCCATTCCATACTTTGCCTCCGTTGCTGCAAGGTGTTCCCTTAAACCGGGACTGGAAGACAAAGTTTTTCAACTTTGACATTTGGCACATTTTCCACCTGGGCATTGCTAAGGGTTGGATCGGAAGTTCCTTGGTAGTCATCATTGAATCTGACATCCCAGTTCTTTCTGGACAGAGATCAGTGGAAGCTAAGTTTGGGCAACTGACAGATATGTACAAACATTTCTGTAGGTCCAACAAGCTGGCAATGTGGGTAAGTGAGCTTAGCAGGGAAAGCCTTTCATGGCCTCAATCTTCGGCAAATCCTCTTGGAGCATGGAACAAGGGATCCGCTTCTACAACACTCATGCTCTTTTTAGGATGGTTTGCACAGGCTTTCATCAAAGGGAAAACTGACAATGAACAACTCCTGTTGATTGCTTCTAGGCCATACTTTGGTACAATTGTCCTATTCCACTTTTGTAATAGGGGCTGATGCTTAGCCAGGAATTTCAATTGTTTGCTTCAAAGGTTTGATTCTCATCCGAGGCAAATTCGACCATCCTGATCAACAAAGCGTTCTCCTACATTTACACTTCGGGATTTTGGCTTCGGAGTTCCAGGGGAAAGCGGCTGGCTGATAGTTTTGCCTATTTTCTTTCTTCGTACCAGCGCTTGGCTTATTTGACATTTGTGGATGGAAAGAACCGATATCAATTTCAGCACAAACTTCACTACATGCACCATTTTGTGGTGGAACTCGATAGACAATGTGGTTTGTCGGATTGGGTTGAAAACCCCCTGGGGACCAGTGTGCAAGTACAAGAAAACTATGTGGGAAGACCCTCTAGAGCTTCACGCAGAGTGTCTATCCGGCGCATCCACCGAAATGTTGTTTTCAGAATTTTAATTTTGCAATGCCGTGCTTTGATCCAGGCGGATCATGATGAGAGAGGAATGAATTCCTACAGTGTGGCTTAAGGTGTGTTTACTTGTTTTTGATAAGTTTGAATGGTCTGTCTTGGGTTGCATCCAACATTGTTATTGTTTTCAGGGCCACACACCTTCACTGTTTTCAACGTGTAGTGGAAAGGCTTGTGCTGAGCTTGGACTGTGGAGGGGGCAGAGAAAACAACTGAGGTTCAAGAGTGCGCGCAGGATGTATGTAGGGGATGATGTAAGAATGTCTGGGGGGAGAACCAAGTGTGACTAAACCCCCAAAACCTGTAAGTAGTGTGTTTTGACAAAGGTAGCGTAATTTGATATATACCTAAATTGGGATTGCGAAAACCATGACTTGCAATCAAAACATGGAACAAACCGGCTCTAGGTATATATATCTAACAGGCTATCAGGCATATGAGGCATATGCTCAGCTCATTTTCACCCTATTTCATTCTCTTAAGGGAGGGTGGCGTGAGGCACTGGATGCTCTGGGGTGTGGCTTTTCTTCTTCAGCAGGAAACAATGGACATGGCCAAAGGCCCGAGACAAACAATGACGATATTGACATGGCCCATCTTAGCTTTCTTATGCAACATATGGGGGATTGCAACCGGTGTGTTTTTACATGTTTGAACCATGACTCAAGGAGTGACTCTCTGGGATGGGATTTCAACTTCAGCCCACATTTTGCGGTAAAATCTCATGGTCCTTGTACTCGAACTTTTACTCAAGTGACACTGCCAGCTTACCCTTCAAAGCATAGAATTCTGGTAGAAGCAAGCCAGGATTGGAACAGGTTCGAACATCTTTCAACATCTTCCCACTTGACTTTGTCTGCAAAAATAGGGTTAACAAAAAATAACACATATGGTTGATCATCAGGTCCCCGTATGGCCAATGGTCAATTGGGTGATGAAATAGGTCTCCCATTTTCCAATCATTTTTCCATCATCCAGCCGCAGAAAGGACTTCTCGTGGACAGAAAGGAACAACCAGGACCAAGTGACTCAATTTGTCTTGCAATTGCAGCATCGCCATCCGTAACATTCACCTGGCCAAGAGGGGAAACTGGAGACAACTGGCAATGGGGCAATATGGGACTTGGCACTGCCTTTGATGACACCTACGTCAGTATCGCTGTATATGTATATATGTATATATGTATATGTACATGTATATATATATATGTGTGGTCAAAAAACTATATACTGTATATACACATGTCAAAACATAATTAAACATATTATAGTTGCGTACATGTTTCAGAGTATCTCGGTGGAAAGGAATTACATTTCATTATTTAATATACATCTTGTATAAGATATATCTACAGTATATATATATATAGATTCATTTAATCTTATTTACACATACCTGGACGACCAAAAAAGGCAGTTACAGGGTTTCGAAATGTTTCGAAGGTCTTAAACTTCGCAAACCATATACAGCACATGTTCAGGAAAATATATCTGCTTGTTCGACTTGTACCATTTACTATTCGCAAAACACAGGGTACAATTCAACGAACAATTGTGGGCAATGTCAGTTCAATATCTTCTAAGAGATCATACGCACAAATAGAAGGCTGCAAATTCAAACAAGGTATTGAAAGGGGACATTGAAAGAAGAAAAACCTTTGATCAAACTGATGGAAAAGGTCGGAGGCCCTTGGAAGCACAGTCTGTCGAATTGTGAGGGTTGTAGATCCAACATGGACAATGTGAGTTTGGTTAATGGGAAAACCGTGGCTTTCAAAATGGACCCGGTGAATGTTTGGATGGTCATGATGGTCAGGGTGTGTATACATATGTCTGGGCCTGCCGGCGGGTTACAATTTCTTCTGAGAGCCAAGCTAAAGTAACTATTGCCGCTTGAGCAATTTCTGCCGTCTCAGCCAAAATCTTCCGTTTCGACTGTTTGGTGGGATTCTAGCCAGGTCAGTTGCGATTCTTGATTTGTTCGCATGTTTTTCATATTGACACGCTTAGGGGAGCATGGGCAGACCTGTACCATGTCAAGGTCTAAGCTGCATTGAAAACCACCAAAAGAATTTATGCGGTTTGGTTGGAAGTTTCCACCACCATGTGGTATGTAATTACCCTGTCTGAAATTTGTCACGTTCTTTGTAGTAGAGGGTTTGAAGCTGGACACATGAAATTACGTGTTCTTTATTTGGTGAAATGCTCCGCAACTCCTGTGGAATTGAGAGAATCCTTCCTTCTCTTCCAGGCAGTTCCGTTTGAGGGTTGGCCCTCCAAAGTGAATCTTTCACCAAACATGAAAAAGATTACCGACACTTCGATCGTTCAAGGTATAACTATCATGTGTACACCTATAGGCATATGTCCGTAACATGTATACTCTTTTTAGATATAAGTGTAGTCCCAGTATTGTACCATCAGTGTTTGGAAGGAACTTCATATATAATCAACATCAATCGTTTGGAAGGAAATCCATGTAGAATCAATATCAATCAATCATAATCATATAACCATACATAATCACAAATAATCTCATATATATATTCATACATAATCAAAAACATATAATATAAATTATAAATATAAATTTAAATGTGATACTATATGTATATATATGATGCAATCTATCCTGTCACCAAAACCTATGCCCAGGCGCATGCAATTTGAGCCAGTCCGTGCATCCTTCGGTCAAGGTCACTGCCCAAACGTACCTCTGGAGAACGTGCATTATAGATATAGATATATTTACGACGATGTACGTATATATACATATATTACATATAGATATATATGTTATAATCATGCATATACAATATACTATATATACCCATATATATATAGACATAATATATATATATATATACATTATGTATGACACATACTTAGCAGTCATCATTCATCATCCTGATGTTGCACTGCCTCTACCCGAACTCGGACATGTAGCGACGTGTCAAACCCCCTGGGCACATGATCAAAATGAACATGACCAGGGCCCAGAGCAACTGCCGCACTGAATCAGCAACCTTGGTGTTGATATGGAGGTTTTCAAAGTCATGGGGGTACAGTACCCCAAAAATAATCCAAGTTATTTTAGTATTGAAAGCCATGGTGACTTGGGGATCCCCCATTTTAAGAAACCCCCATATGCTTAAATTAATATATTTCACTAACCAGTGAAGTCACTATCTCTCTCTCTCTCTCTCTCTCTCCATCGCCAGAGAGGTCACTATAATTTACCCAGGTGATATCTTTTGATGGTGTCATAATGGGATCCATATCGGTTCCGACCCTGTCCGATTCAGTGTTCGAAGGTTGTTGGCAGCTAAATCACTTAGCCAAGGATCCATGAGGGCAAGCTTCGCCAGTTGCGGAAAGTAGCGGAACAACCGGAAGAGACGCACCTTGGCACCGCACAGAACCATTCATTGTTGGTCACAGTCATCCCTGCAGTTGGGTTGACCATGTTTTCCCCATCCGACTTTTGGGCCATTTCCCGGGTTGACTTCCTGATATCTACTGGCAACCAATGGTTGATTTTTCGTGACAACCTCGGGCTACTCCTAAGTAACCCGTGTGGGTTCCAGCCCAACTTCGATGTTGTACTGAATTTTGCCCTTCCAGTCCCTCATTATGTCATGGAATCGAGGGGCCTGGGGGGGTTCTGAGCTTATCATTTCAGCTCCTGATAAGGCTGGGCAATGATAAACCCCTATTAAGGCCTTATTAATGTCTTATTTAGCCTTATTAAGGGCTTATTAAGGCTTCTTAAGGGGTTTTCCTTTAAGGCCTTATTAAGGTCTGATTCCCCATGGATAGCTGAACTTCCTTGTCCATTGCTTATCCAAAGCAATGGGTGATTTGAGCCACAACCCACAAAAGGCATTGGGATTTTTGCAGCGCTTGCGAAGTGTGTTCACCATTTTTCCTCAATTTTGGTAATTTGGGCAATTTCGGGGATCTGGAGTCCTGAGGGGTCATTTGGGGGGGTATGCAGAACAGCTTGCTGTTTCTCGCTTATCCAAGGCTTATCCAATGCTTATCATTTAAGCCCTTATCAAGCCCTTATTAAGCCTTTAGCCACCCAACCCCAAATTCCAGGTCAAATTACTGAACACCCGGAAATGTTGCTTTCTTTCTGAAAATGATCATCCCTGCTTATCCATGGTTTATCCAGGCTTATCCAGTCCCCTTCCAGACCCCCCTGGGACCCCATGATCATGTCTCCCCTTCCTTAAGAGATAGAACGGGGATTCCCAGTGGATGATGATGATGATGATGATGGTGGTGGTGGTGGTGGTGATGATGATACCTCCGGCAAACTAACATAACTACGGAAATCACCATTGTTAAGAGGTAATCCATGGAAGAATTGGCCTTTTTTTCAATAGCAAACTGTTAGTGTAGATGAATGGGTGGTATTCCATTATACACTAAGTGTATTAAATCATATTATCCCATATTACCCCATTTATCATATTAAATCATACCATCTCCCCATCTTTGCAGCTGGGCTTCGCCATCTATGTCCCATCTATGTCCCATCTATGTCCCAAGTGGCCACCCGGATGATCTTGATGGCTCGCAGGGTGGACAACGGCGACCTGGAGCTCCATCGCAGCCATTTACCTAAAATCATCGAAATATACTGGTTGGTGGGTTGGTGGTGCAATAACCATCTTGAAAAATATGAGTTCGTCAATGGGAAGGATGACATCCCATATATTGTGGAAAATAAACATATTTGAAACCACCATCGAAATATATCATCAGTTGTAATTGACAACCAATAGAGTCTCATGAAATATAGCAGTAGAAACTCACATATAATTGCATTTGTCCAACAGATCCGCTGGCCTATCTTGGTCTATCCTTTTCATCAATCTGTTTGTCAAAAATCTATCTGCGAGTGTGTCAGTTGGTCAAAATGCGTGCACTTGAGGATGAGTGCATTTGAGGACGTGTGCGTGGTACGATTTAAGCAAAACACCAAACGAACTGCCACCCGAAGCATAACATCTGGCAGCATCAACATGATTCCCACACACACAAAGGCGGATTTTGGAACAAACAACTTCCCTATATCATGTCATAGCCGTCTTTCAAACACTGCTTTTGAAAAGTGGAGCATGGATGCTGCGGACTCGATCCGTGATCGAATTCCATGCCTGGAGGTGGAGCTGGTTCCGAAAGAAGTATAGCCAAGCTCAACGATACCTCGTGGTGTCAGGCTGGGGGATGATTTCAAAAATTGCTGTCCGGGCACTGGCGTTCTAGAAGTGGCCCATGATCTTATGTAATTATATCTGATCTATCTAATCTATCTAATCTATCCAATCTGTCTTATCAAATCTATCCAAACTGTCTATCTAAGCTATCTATCTATCTCACCCATCCTATTTTATCTTATCTATCTAATCAATCTAGTCTATCTTATCTATCTTATTTATGGTATCAATCCTATCTGATTTGTTCACCCAATCTAAATTGCCGCTCGAATCTAGTTAATCTAGTCTGATCCAGTCAAATCTGATCAAAACAAATGAACATCAAATAAATCTAATCAAATCGAATCTAATTGATCTTATCTATTAAACTAATCTGTCTACTCTATCTATCTCTATCTACTCCAATCTAATCAAAAGTAATCACAACTAACCAACTCAAATCAATCTAATCATATCTGATCTAGCTATGTATCTAACTTATCTACTTATGTGTACTTATGTATCTACTTATTATCTACCTAAGGCGGATCTGTCTGAACATAGATGCCCGAATATCCCACGGTTTATCATCATGTTCTCCCTTAAAATGACCTCAAAAAAAATGGCCTAAACCCACCCAGCCCAAGCAACATCAAAGCAAGTTGCTTATGAAAACCAATACCAAATCGCACAAGTTCCTTGCTGCGGCCAGGACTGGTGAAAGCACTGACAACCAACCCTTTTGTTCCTCGCCATAGGTGCAATGTGTCCAAACATTGAAAAAACATGTCAAGCACATTCAAGCTTCTGAGATCAAGAATTTGCAAACAAATCCTATCATAGTCAATAGCACTACTTCAGTCCATTCCGCGCATGACGGAGACCACAAATCTCTGGTGACGCCCAGGAACCACATCCATTCATGTTTGGTGAAGAAGTTCCTGATGCCCGTCACACGGATGCGGATGATGACTTCAAGGATGAACCAATTTGTAAAGAGAAGGCCTCGATTTGTCCGCCAGATCCGAGTCGACTTCAGCAGGAAACTGGACATCAAGGCACTGCCACGCAAGTGCCCCTTCAAACAGCATGCATGTCGTTGCAAAAAAGCTTCAGACAATGGGAGTGAAATCAGCAAATGGCAGCAGTTCTTTTTTGAATGTGCAGCCTTCGAGAAACTTGTTAAGAATAGTTAGGACAAATAAGACATTGCAACACTCCACTCATGATTAATTGCTATATAGCTTATGATATTACAGTGTATTACAACGTATAAACTTCAAACTTCTGCCTAGAGCTCCTTGAAGAATCATGGCTCTCGTTGGATGCATCTTCGCCCCGTGGGCGCTGCCAAGGTGCTGATAATCTGCAAAGGTTGAGAAGGACTCATCTTAGCCCAGCTGAGAGGTGAAGATCATGGGGATCCCATGGGGATGGGCCCGGGTTTGGTTATGGCAGTTATGGCTATGGCGGCGATGGGAAATGGAATGGAAATGGATGAAAACAGCCCATTTATAAATAGTTTGATGGTAAACATTATGATTTACCTATTGAACATTGTTACTTTTTAAAGAAATAAAGGGTAGAACCAACACAATGGGGTATATGAGTATATGGGCGCGTCTGAAAATTGGGTGTACCGGTATAGCCCCAATACAAATTCCGGCATTCAAATACTTACGAAAAGTAAGGATAACCCGGTGACTTTTTTCAGCTATCTGTTGAGATGACCCTGTCCAAATCTGAAGCAAGTCACGTGAGAGGCGAGATGCGCGACCTCCAAACCCATCACCACTGAATTTACCTTGGATCATTTGGATCAATGGCCATTTCACGTAATGACCGATTTACTAGAGACATGACATAAGGCCTATATATCTATATGTATATGGTGCAGCGTTGGCCACCCCCCCTCCCCCCCCCCCACCAATGGGTATGGGTATGGGTGGACAGTATCGTCTGGTTCTTCTGTGGTGGTGGTATGGTTCTTCTGGTCCCCCCCCCCCTGTGGCCTGTGGTGGTGGTATGGTTCTTCTGGTCCCCCCCCCCTGTGGCCTGTGGTGGTGGTATGTTGGTATGTTGGTATGTTGGTATGTTGGTATGTTGGTATGTTGGTATGTTGGTATGTTGGTATGTTGGTATGTATGTATGTATGTATGTATGTATGTATGTATGTATGTATGTATGTATGTATGTATGGAATGTATGTAATGTAAGGTAAGGTAAGGTAAGGTAAGTAAGGTAAGGTATGTATGTATGTATGTATGTATGTATGTATGTATGGTATGTATGTATGGAATGTAAGGGTAATGTAAGGTAAGGTAAGGTAATGTAAGGTAAGGTAATGTAATGGTATGTATGTATGTATGTACGTAGGTATGTAGGTAGGTAGGTAGGTATGTAGGTATGTATGTATGTATATACACCACCACAGGGGCATCATACCCCCCCCCCATCCCATGGGGGGAGGTGGGAACACGGGACACGGGACCATATATATATATATATATGTACTATGGAAATCTGCGAGCTTTATATGGTACAGTACCCTATTTTCGGGTCCTGAAATTCCTATTGATATTGGATCGGTGGCTGTTTCTCGTGAACCTACTGTCTTTCTCAGCCAGGCTCCCGTCAGTGTTACTCTTTGTGCCGGCTGATATCTACAGGGGTGTGGAAACCTGATAACACATCGAGAAATGACAGAAAAGCCATATAAATGACACACAATAATGACACTGCTGTGATTCAATACTAGCTGGCTGTCAGGCCTGTTCATGAAACAAGCAAAGACCACGCAGTTTAGTTTCCTTGGTCCGAAGCCACGCTGTTTGTGCATGTGTTGGTCCAGGTGCTACTTTGGATTCAATCTTCTGCTTAATATGATTTTAATATGTTAATTGTTTTTAATGCATGACACTCATTTCAAACCCTGTCGCTTGATTGCATTCAGTCCCTTTGAATAAGGATACTGAGGACATCAGGCATATTCTGGCCAATCCATTTTGGATTTTTGAGTCATTAGACATTGGAATGTTCGCCGTTATGCGAAAACAATATGTTTTTGGTTTCTTCGTCCACCTGTCTCCACAAAGCCCAAAGAAACACATAAACAAAAAAACAAAACATATGAAGACTATATGGATCTAATGAATCTAATGTATCTGATTTGAACTATTTAGAGGTATGTCTATATTGTGAAGTGATATACACTATAAGATGGTGTATATAATTATATGTATATATATATATATTGTCGTATTGTTTTTGTATCAGCCCCTGCCAACTGAAGGAGGCTGCGCCACAGCCAAGGGGCCACAATCATCAAGGCGGCGAAGAACTCAAAGAAGAGCCACCGGACCTCTGCATGATCGACCTCGGGATGGGATGCTGTTCTTCCTGGATATCATCGATGTTAGGCCTCAAAATTGGATGCTCATCCGGCATGACTTTAATTGGGACCCAAGTTCAAAGAATGCCAGAATATGCCAGCAAAGCATTAACTTAGAATCATATACTTCAGGTCTAGATGATCGCGGTATCAAGTGTTTCACGGGATTCACAATGCAGCCAATCAAAGCAAGCGACAACCTCCATGCTCTTTTTGCCCATCACGACGCTGAGAAAAAATCCAACTTGTTGAATCCTTGGGCACCGGGGAAACCTTTGCTGTTGCTGAGAATGCACACAACTTGCCGCGGATCATCGCAAATCCATACTACGTGGGCTAGCCCGGCATGGTATGGCAATATGAGGTTTGTTGATACTGATTGACTGTCATACACCTGTGGAAACAAAATGGTGGATTCTTCCAGAACATTAAATTCTCTGCGGCTGAGCGACGTGATGTTCGATTTCCTTCGACCTTGGTAGTTCCAACAGAAACGAACCATGCAATGTAAAACGGGAGGCCTGTCTGCTCACAGCAGGCTTTATAGTTCCTGCATTGGCAGTGTGGATGAGTGACCAACACCAATGTCTGCAGAGTTCTGCACTGTGCACTTCATGTTTGAAGCCCTGGCGATTGTGAAGGGCCTGCATCAGGACATACTCTCCAGGAAACATATAGATAGCAACTGGCAAACAAAATAAACAATCTGCATGGCTTTTGAATGGCTGAATCATTTGCAACTGCGGGATGATGTCCCATTGCCAGGGACTACCAATTACCAAAGGATGTGGGCTTGAAACTAGCCACTTCAACAGTTCACTATCGTAAGCAATGCGGCTTTGGACAATATTATACTCAGTCCCTGGGTAATTACCTCCGATACCTGGTAGCCACTGCCACAAGTTGCTGACAGGGGGGCAGGATTCCAACTTCGTCTTTGCCAGCTGAAGCCGCTCGTTCAAGGCTTCCGAATCTTTGTCCTGCCGGATCAGAAAAGGTGTCAAACAGAGAAGGTTTCTCGACACCATAATCATAATCTCCTCGGATAGTTCAGTTCTGAAACTGATTGAGCGAATTTGGGAGGTCCACAATTTCATGGAACATGGTGACATCCCGAAATGTTTGTCGATTTTCAATCGTATATATATATATTATTATTATTATTTATTATTGTTATTTTTATTGTTATTATTATTATTATTATTATTTTATATAATGTTTTAAACTCTGACGTTGCATGTTGCATTGTGAGACTCCAATGTTGTATTGTGAAACTGACAATGCAAAAACCCGAAGCTAACCTCAAATGAACCCTAAACCTAAACCCCGAATCAACCCTAGTTACTATAGTTGTGGAACAGTAGTTGCGCAACTACAGTAGATGGACAAATTATTCAAACCCCGCATCCATGAGTTGTAGGCTACCCCCTGTCTCCCCCAAACTTCAATGTTATGGTTTCGTATCTTGTTCCTGATCTTAGGGTTTGCTTTATTTCGTCCATTCGAAGGAGCGAACCAAACAAAAAAAACAACATTGTAATTGGGGGTGCGGGGGGTTATTGGATTACAAGGGTTTGAATAATTCGTCCATCTACGGTACGGGGAGCGGTGGTCAGCAGGAGCGCAGAGAATGTGAAGGGTAATTTTTCCTAGTTTGTAGTTTGTTTTTTTCTGTTCCGTGAGACGTTGTCTTTACGCGCGCTTTGCTGCTTCAGTTCCGGCCTTCTTCCATTTCCTTTCCTTAGACGTGATTGCAACTGCTGCGCTTTTCCAACTCCCTTCCTTAGGCATGATTGCAATTCCTGTGTTTTTCCAACTCCCTTTCTTTGATTGAAAATGCTGTGTTTTTCCAGTACCCTTTCACGGGCATAGTTGAAAATGCTATGTTTTTCCAGTTCCCTTTCCCGGATGTGATTGAAAATGCCGTGTTTTTCCAGTTCCCTTTCCCGGGCGTGATTGAAAATGCTGTGTTTTTCCACTTCCTTTTCTTCAGCGTGTGCGAAGTCCTGTGTTTTTCCAGTTCCCTTTCTCTTTCCCAATTCCCTTCCAGTTCCCTTCCAGTTCCCTTCCCAGTTCCCTTCGCGGATTCCCTGCGTTTTTTCAAGGAATGTGTGATGCGACTTTTTTAAAGTAAAAGCAAAAATGTTTTCTTTTTTAAAGAAAAAAAGTTGCAACGCACTTTCCTTGGAAAAACACAGGGAATCCGCGAAGGGAACTGGGAAGGGAACTGTGAAGGGAACTGGAAGGGAATTGGGAAAGAGAAAGGGAACTGGAAAAACACAGGACTTCGCACACGCTGAAGAAAAGGAAGTGGAAAAACACAGCATTTTCAATCACGCCCGGGAAAGGGAACTGGAAAAACACGGCATTTTCAATCACATCCGGGAAAGGGAACTGGAAAAACACAGCATTTTCAATCATGCCCGGGAAAGGGAACTGGAAAAACACAGCATTTTCGATCACACCCGGGAAAGGGAACTGGAAAAACACGGCATTTTCAATCACATCCGGGAACTGGAAAAACACAGCATTTTCAATCATGCCCGGGAAAGGGAACTGGAAAAACACAGCATTTTCGATCACACCCGGGAAAGGGAATTGGAAAAACACGGCAGTTGCAAGCACGGCCGGAATGGGAACTGTAAAAGCGCAGCGTGTGGGAGGACCTTCGCGACACGGCCAGCTGAAGTTGGTTTTATCATCCACTATTATGGCGATATCGTGTGATGACTTATTTTTTGGAAAATGACAGGTGTCTTGTCAATGCAAAGAAATGGAAGAAATAAAGCTATTGAGGGATACATGGTGGGTCTCATCATCCACTTTGTGGCGTTGTGACTGGCTTTGCTTTTCAATCATGGGGTGACTTCTTTGCTTAAAAAACAACAGGTGGTGACAGGTTGTGCATTGTCAATGCATAGTTGTGGGAGAAATGAATACATCATTCATGATGGGCCTTATCATTCACCTTTGTGGCGTTGTCACTGGGCTTGCTTTTGGGCTCATTGTGACACTTTGGGAGAATATAATTTGTGAATTCTTAGCAAAAACATATACCAGAAAAAATGCAAAACCATGATGAGAAATTAAGCGCATGAGACAGTAGTTGGCGCAAAACAACGGAATTAGTGGCACGATCCGTACAATCCTGTTTTAAACATCCGCAAAACAAGTTGCAACATCCTAGAACTGCAGTTGCAGAAGCGCAGTTCCGCAAGCCTAGTCGTGCAATACAAAGACAAAGTTGTGCCAGCATGTGCCAGCAGGGTTGCGCGATCCATAGTTGCATACGAGGACTTTCACTTTGCTCACAACTTTGCTCAATCACTGTCAATGATGTACTCTCGCAATTCAACATGAAACCTCAACCCAACCATGCGGTCCCGAAAGATATAGTAAATTCTGCTTGTGGTCCACTTACTTTGGGGTTCAAATTTTTAGTTTCTGAGCCAATCACTTTCCATCTAGAGACGAAGAGGAAGAGTACCAACCCGTGCTTCACTTCAAAATGGACAAGTTTTGGAGTGAAACGCTAGACAGAGTGCAAAATGCCTCCCGAAGCCATCCCAAAAAGGGCTGTCATAAAATCATAGACATAATACTGTCATACAAAAACATGATCGGAACATAAAAGCATAAAAGCACTGTATGACGTCTCCACTTTGTGAAACGTTGGGATTGGTTATTTTCCATTTTGAGAATGCGCGGCTTTAATGTCTTTATATAATTGTGTGGCTGAACAAATAATCCCTAAAAAATGCACCAAGTTCTGCCCCTGTCATTCCAAGTAGGGAGCGGAATGATTCATGTTTGCAACCGCCAGCCTATCTAATAGTTTCAGCTATCTACCTACCCCTGAAATCGGCATATTCATCCTTAGAACCCTTTGATTGCTTGCAATTAGGGTTTGACTGAAAATGGGGTACTACCAAATTCTTCATGGTTTGTCACCTTGTCCCCATTGAAATGGCGGTTGGAGGGTTAAATCCTTCAGACACGCCCAAATATCATATCAATCGAGTTGGATAGTTCTATCCCATGGAATATATGAAATATCCCATAAACACCAGATGTTTCCCATTTATACCATGATTGAAGATTATATGTATTGATATTATACTGTTGGGTGCAGGTGGATTCTAACCGAAAGTCGCAGTCTTGCTCCTGCTCTTCCCTCAGTTCAGTGGTATAGGCCTTGACCTGTGGGTCCACACTTGCACCTCAAGGCCCCCGCAGGCCCGCAGGGCTGGCAAATCATGTGATATAGACATGCACCATTGCCATGTATTCATATACAAATATGTTTGAACATGAGTGCACATAGTTCACACGCACACATACATATAACTATATACACATAACATTTGTATATTTTTTTTATTATATGGAAAAACATTAAATTATAATAAATTACATGTGATTATATATATATATATTATATATATATATCATTGTGCGTACTTCATATATTGATGATCACTGTTTTCAGTCTTCTTATTAGAGTATGGAAGTTTTCTTTTTCTTTCCTCCACAAACAACACATCAACACCGAGCCAAGCCACCATCCCTTCAGGTATAGTAGGAGACATCCAAATCAGTCGATTATTTACCTGGTGACCTACTGAAAACATGGGGATGCAGTGCCAGTCTCACTTTTTTCCTAAAGGGTAAGCATCATTTCTTGGGCGTCCCTCACGACGCCCAATGTTCCAAACATATCACCTACACCATCGCCTTTTTCCGTGTTACAGGGGAATTAGTGTCCGTTTTGCCAACCATTTGAATGTGAAAACAGCCACAAAATGAATAATTACGATTGAATTCTTTCGGTGGTCTCGGTTTACCCAAGGTGGATGGTTGAAGAGTTGAATAATATCGATCTTTTTGGTTGTTTTGGATGTTTATCACTCCAACACAATTACAGTGACATGGGGAAGAAAAGACTCTAAGAAAACAAACAACTCGGGTTGTCATGGATCTTCACGCCCCACAGAAGGAACTAGCACTCCTTTGCAAAACCGTTTCACAAAGAACTCCGGCTGATTAAAAACAAAAAAACAGCAACCCGAAGTAAACGGGAGGGTTTCCCCGTACTAACACTGCTACTAGTAGGCCACGAATTAATCTAGGTAAGAGCTGCTACATGCTGCTACTAGCCTCGATGTTTGCCTCGTGCGTCCGAGGCGCCATGATGGGTCCTGACCCTCGCCATGGCCGCAGAGGATGTCGACTTGTTCAGGCTCACGTTACCCTCGTGATTCTCCTGCGCCGGGGAAAGGGCCGGAAAACGTGCGGGAAAGTCCCTGAAAATCTGAAAGCCGTGGAAGTGCGATGGAGCTTCGCATGAGAATCACTCACAGCATGTTTTTTGGCGGTTTTTGGTATTATCCGGGCTGCTTCTTCAAAAAATAGAGGGTGAACCTCTTGATAGTTTTGCAGAGGAGTACTGTAGTCCCGTAAAGCTTGTTCACTTACCCTCTGGTGACTCCCTGTGACACTATTTTTGCAACGGACCGTTTTCAACAGTGTCCGAAACGCTGAATGCCCCACTCATGAAAGGTTTGAAGATCTTCGAAGCGGGAACGAAGAGGAACACCCCCATAATCCAAGTTTCCAAAAACAATTGAAGCTCAATCTCACCAACTCAATCTCAACAAAAAGGTTGTGACAATTGACAATTAAATAGAGTTTAAATAAAGTCTAGCGGTAGGCTGGTCACTCCCCGGAAATGAGAATAATGAGATGACAAACAATGATCCAAAATACAAGGTGCAGTTTGGTACTCATTTTGCTCTTTACAAGTCGTGTGCAATGTCTTACTGAGATATCAAACCAACGGCCATTTTTTTAGCGCTTTGGTATTGCTGCTACCCGTGAATCTTGAAAATCACACTCTTCCGTCAATGTTATCATCTTTGAAACGTGCCATTTCTAGCTGGACACATTCCCTGGGACCGCTGGGCAGGGTTGTTTGGGCCAAAAACTGTAAGCATACTCTAACAAAAATAGGTCACTTCCGAGATCTTCCCAACTCTACCAGTAACTAGTGACGTGAATGATATGCAAAGACTTGGTTCATCTTTGACCCCAAGATTGGCCAACTCCACGAAATGTCCAGCCTCTCTCTGTGATTTGGTGGCGCTATCTGCGTCTGATCGTTGACCGTCCTGGCTCCCAGTCGTATGATTCGTATGGGTTCGGTGGAGCAAGGACGTTGGGGCTGCCATAGGCCCATGATTTTGTAGTTCGGAGGGCACGTCATAGCATGTTCATTAGATTTTCTCAAATGTATGAGCAATCTTGGAGGCTCAAGGTTCACGAAAAGGACATCATTTGGGAAGGTACCATTGCTTACCTGGCGATTGCACAAAACAATATATGGCGTTTTTTGGGTATCACTTAAAGATCTTATATGTGAAGGAAAATGATGTACGTGCAGTGCAGGTATGACATTGTCTTCAAAGGGGGTATCGCTATGCGCTATTTAGGAAGGCCGGATCCCTTATACCTCATGTTTCTACAATTTCTGACAGCCAGGGTCCGTCCTTTACATGTTTCCTATTGCCGAAGTTTTTGCTGTGGCTCAAATTGATGTTAATATGGTATGATACATACAATCTGGAGCATACTGTGTCATATACCACCCCCCTTGCTGTAATAATTAGGGGCTGGAGTCAGGGACCCCGTTTTATATGCATAAACTGTCGGGACTAAACCAACGAAATGGAAGGTGGTCTGGAAAGTTTGGCCCTACAAAATGATAAGCAATTCAAATTCAACAAAAAAACATGATTTTCCATAAGCACGTCAGGAAACAAAGATTAAACAACAGTACGGACTTGCCAAAAATATCCTCCATGCTTAGCCGATAGCCACCTTTGCCAGCCATTCTATACACAGATGGTCGTTTATAAAATGTATGTTAGGGTCACTGGTTTTTACAACGTGATTATACAGGTACAGGTAGTGGTGGGTTTATAAAATGATTTACCAGGTAGTGGGCAATTATAAAATGAAAAGCCGATGTGTTTATAAAATGACCCCAAAAAACCCAGACCAGGTCAAAGGGAAGTTGGGTCACAATGTTGGTAGCAAAGGTTGTCTTTATGAAATTCACTTTCCAGATCTTAGAGAGCTACTTGTGAACCACTGCCAGGGGTTTATAAAATGCTCTTTCCACATCGTCATAGAGCTCAAACAAATGGCACTTTTCCTCTTGCGCGCTCGGGCCATCTTCATTACGAGATCCTTTTAATGCTGGAATATCACATTTATGAAATGCCTTTTCCAGCTGACAGCATCTACCAGCCAATGAACCCATCGTCTGCAAGTTCTCCAAAACTGATTTTTTCCCCACCTGCCAGGTATGTGAGGGTTGTTAGATTTTGTCAGGGCGCTCTTCCTCCGCCTCATCCTCCTCCTCCTCCTCCTCCTCGGCTAGCTGTCCTCTTCCTCCTCGTCCTCCTCCTCGCCTCCTCCTCCAGTTTCTCCTCGGCCATGTCTGCATCAACTTCCACCTGCACTTCCGCCTTGCCAACTCTTCGCCAAGCTCTTTGCCAACTCTCTTCGCCGACTCTCTTCGCCAAGCTCTTTGCCAACTTCCCAGCTCAGTGTGCACCGCTGGACCTCAACCTGGGACCTTCCCAGCTAAGTGTGCACCGCTGGACCTCAACCTGGGACCTTCGCAGCTCAGTGTGCACCGCTGGACCTCAACCTGGGACCTGCCCAGCTCAGTGTGCACCGCTGGACCTCAACCTGGGACCTGCCACCAGGGACCTTCCCAGCTCAGTGTGCACCGCTGGACCTCAACCTGGGACCTGCCCAGCTCAGTGTGCAACGCTGGACCAACGGCCAGATAGAATGCCAGAAGACATGCCAGATAGACTGTCAGATAGAATGCCAGAAGAAATGCCATGAGATATGCCAAATAGAGTGCCAGATAGAATGCCAGAAGATTTGCCAGAACACATGCCAGAAGATATGCCAGATAGAATGCCAGAAGATATGTCAGAATATATGCCAGATTATATGCCAGAAGATATGCCAGATAGAATGCCAGATAGAATGCCAGATAGAATGCCAGAAGATATGTCAGAATATATGCCAGAAGATATGCCAGATAGAATGCCAGATAGAATGCCAGAAGATTTGCCAGATAGAATGCCAGAAGATATGCCAGATAGAATGCCAGATAGAATGCCAGAAGATTTGCCAGGAAGAAAATCTATAAATGTTAATGTCATGGCGGGGATCAAACGAAGTAAAGAAATTTTATAATTTCTGCCTGAGCCTGTTTGGTTGCTCCTCTTTACCTATATTATATTTTTGGTATGAAATGCCCCCCTGTTACAGCATTTTATAAGGACAAAGGTCGGGCATTTCATAAGGTACCAGTCATGGAGGATCCAAAAATCATTTCATTCAGGCTTTGGACTCAGCTGGTTTGACTTTTCTAGCCATTTTGTAGGCTACAGGACGGGCAACAGGTCTCGTGAAAACCGGTGGATGAATCAATATATGAATCTAAAGTAGCAACGTTTCCCTACAAAGTGACAGAAACTATAGGGGTAGCCCAGAATAAAACAAAATGTCCTTCAGGTTTTCTTACGAAAAATGGTATGCCCGACAACCTGCACCAAAGCTAAAACCAATGTTCACGCGTTTTTGTCAAAATGTTTTGCACGTTCCTCACATGTTCCTCACTTCATCTTTGTTTGTAGCACTTTGTAGCATGGCTAGGCCGCCTAGCCGGTTACACGTGTGTCATGTTGAGGTTCGGGACTTAGGGATGTGCTTCAAACTCGCGGTGCTGGGAAACGGCCCAGTGTAGGGAACCACTTCTTCAATGTTCTCCCGAGATTGCCTTTCTTTAGCATTTACCTATATTTATCCAACACATATATTATTTACACCTGAAGAATATGGGGTGAAAATGATGCATGTGTAAATGTATTTACACATGCATCATAGGTAGGGGGGTCATTTTGGAGCACGAAATGGGGCTCAATTTGGAACACGAGAAGGGATGCACTATACCTGCACCTTCAGAAATGTCTGTTGTTCAGTAAAGTATCCGCATGAAAAGTGCCTTTTGCAGGTCATGCCCCGGATAGCTTGGAAAGGCCGCCTCCTAAATGTTTCAAGCATAAGGTGTGACACAGGTTGCGCTCACAAACGTAAGGTGAGTCACGGTGAGCCGACCCTCAAAACCAAATATGTGCACCAAGATATCAAGAGATTCAAAGAAAAAACCTTCAAATCTGCGTCAAGTTTTTTGCACAAACATCAACGCTGTGGCGAATCAATATCAATGTCCCGAAGGGAATCCGGAAGGGTGTAAGTTGCCTGGGAATGCTTGATGGCACTCTTCAAATGCATAGCGAATAGCCGCAAAGAAGATCATAGAAGCAAATACAAATTGCACGTACGAGTGTAACAACTGTGGCAGAATCACATGTACTGATATGTGACACGCAAGCATATAAATATATGAAAAGGGACGAAAAGAACAATTCAAAAGTCCCGCCTGCAAAAATGGATTCCATACCCCAGAACATAGAACTGAAAAACCAAGGAACACACAAAGAAAAAACAAAGGAAACACCATCACATTGTGCAGATTTACCGTGAAACAATCTAAAGTCTTGATGCCCGCCACCTCCTCATCATCGAAAGCGAAGGTTAACGCCTGGGCAGGACGTAATGTGCTAAGCCCAATCATCAACCCCCATTTTGCGATAGTATTTTCTCGCTCCCGTTTGTCACAGGTTCTCTATAATATATATATATATATGTATATAAACCTATTTCTGGTAAAGTTGGGGAATTGATGCTTGCCTTTCCCACATTAGCTTCGACAGGACTGAATCTCAGAAACTCTGAGCTGCATCTGATTCAGGTCCCGTTTGCATTACCGTAAGTCCTTCAGTGCCGAGCAACTCGTGGATGTTCCTCCGGTATCTTTTGTTCGCTTTGTTCTTCCACCTCAGAGCAAAAGGCACCATGGTGACAGTACAAAGGCGGGCCCTAGGTGGACCATTCGGCCGGCGGGCTGTGGTGAAACATGTTTCCGACCCATTCCCAATCTTGGGTGCCTTGCAGTTTCTTTAAAAGCTGTCCATCCAGGGCTGACCCAGTCCCAGATGAAGACTATATCTACAGGTAATTGATGATAATTTAATGTAACTTGCCCTGCCGACACCCTTTAAGACA